AAAAAAATTGGTCATGTCCTCAATTCTTGATGCTTATGATAATTTAAGTAAGTGTCAACTAAAATAATTTTTTAATTAATGTAGTCTAACAGTTAGACAAGTCGACCCTTCATAATTATTTAACAAAAGTATGTACTTATACCGATTAATATTTAGATTTGCCTAACAATGTCCTACCGGCTAATTGAGTTTAAAAAACTCAACTTTCTTTTAACAAGTTTTAGCTCATTTTTCTTACAAGTACCCACTGGCTGGAAATTATTAAAATGAAATTACATATTTGTAGTCACGGTGAAATTATAATTTTGGTCATGTTGGTTTGATCCAGTGACAATTTTAGTCCTAAGAATTGAATATTTTTGCTATTTGGTCTTATAATTTTAAAATTCAGCGTAATTTCAATCATTTGGAACTGAAAATACAACAAAATTTAAAGTTACATGACTTAAATTGCTAATGAAAAATCTTTTGGATGGATTTTTTATTACCAATTTAAGTACTGTAATTTAAATTTTATTGCAATTTCAGTCCCAAAGAACTGAAATTGCAGCAAAATACTAAATTACAGGATCAAAAGACAAAAAAAATTAAAATCTTCAAACTAAAAATGCCACGACTTTAAACCGACTAAAAATGCAATTCAGCACTTGTAAGAAAAAATTATACAAAGTTGAAATTATTTTTCCTCCATTAAAAAAATTAATGAATTAATTGCCTCATTTTCACTTATTTATTTATTTATTTATTTATAGTTTATACCACCCCAAATCAGTGAGCAAATTGCTGCCAAATGAGCCCACAACACAACCGGGGCACAAGGGTCCGAAATCCAAGAACATGTCCCGACCATATTACCTTATTTCAGAGCCCATGAGACGTCACATATATATTATAGGCCACTAATTTCACAATTTGATACTTCCTCTTTTTTTTAAATAAATGTCGTTTTGACTTTTTTGATTCATCCATTTTGCTATGTATCTAGACATATTATGTCTAAATACATAGCAAAATGAATGAATCAAAAAAGTCAAAACGAGAATTATTTAAAAAAGGAGGTAGTACATTATAGTTCACCATGAGCCAGAAAATTTTTAAATCCTCTGCACTTTTTTTATGGTGCAATCATTAAATAGTGATGACAAAATAAGCAGAAAAATAGGAAAAAGCACATAGCAGCAGGAAGCATGTGCATCTAATTTTCTTTCCTTTCTTTCTTTAATCTAATTTTTATTTTTATTGCCCTTGTGACTTGTGGCACAATTGCCTATACTAGTATAATATAGTTATATGTTATATGTAGTAGCCAAATTATAGGAAGCTGCGACGATTTTGTTACGGAACCTTTTCGTAGGAGTTTGTAACTGTTAGATCAACTATCCATGACGGTTATATGATGATCTAACGATTACAAATTCTGACGGAGTAGTTCTGTAACGGGACTGTAGCATTTCTCTAAATTATGTAAAGAAAGAACCTTATTTGTGTGTGTGTGTGTGTGTGTGTGTGTGTGAATTTGTGGGCAAGTTAGGTATCTAATTAACAACCCATCATGTGGAGATATTCATGTCAATGCCTATGCACATATCTCTCTCTAGTCTCTTCATCTCTTTCGTTTCCTTGTATGCTACGTGAATGAACCAACTTGTTAAATTTTGTGATCACATGCATGCTTTGGTATGTAACGAGGCTATGAGGGTCGTTCGGTTTGAGGCAAGAAAGGTTTCTACGAATATATATCCGAATGTATATAGCCGAAATCTAAAAGTCGAGCCAAACCGTGAATTTCGTAGTTGCGATTCTGTTTGTTATTTCAGTGTGAAAAATCTTTGGTTCGATTTTGATTTTTTTTTTTATATATATTGCTATGTTGTTCGATTATTTTTCTCCGACAAGATTGATATATATTTTTCTTTTTTTTTTTTGTACAGGGACCTTCCGGTTTCCGGATCCTCAAAGGAACCGACTAATCCGGAATCGAGCCGGGTAGGACTACAAGGGCGGGAAAGCTCTCCCTCAAGAGTTTTTTTTTTTTTCTTTTAATTACATGTACATTAAACCAACTACCTGGCTACTTTTTTTATTACTTTGTGAGGATTGACGGGGAGAAATTGTAAATATGTTCCCAAATCTTTAGCTTTATTTGAAAAATATTTTTCTTTTCTGTTCAAAGATATTATGGACCTTCACTATTATTATTACTAGTACAGAGCCCGTGCGATGCGCGGGGTGCACAATTTTAAGGTCATTTATCCATTCTTATAATTATATAAATGAATAAAAAAATGTACGGGATATATATAGTACGTGACCTGTAATAGGCCAAAATGTGATTCACTATTCACTATTTGATTATATAAATGAATAAAAAAATTGCCACAATATTTGATTCACTATTCTACTACGCATGTAAACAACTTTTTATTTATATTATCACGATTTTTTTTATCATTTTGAATTATTTTTTATCAATTTAGTTATGAAATATTTTTTACATTTAAAAATAGTGATTTAATGTCATCTGATTCATTTAGTTAGTTTTGAGCTACAAATGAAAAAATATTTCTAACATACATTTAAAAATAGTGATTTAAAAATTTAAGAAATATTTCTAATAGATAAAATATTATTAATGTTTAATATTGTTATTAATCATTTATTTTTTTAAAATAATTTTAAGAAGTACACTTACTATACTTAA